GGGAGTTGGTGAAGGACAGGGAAACCTGGTGTGCTGCGGTTCATGGGGTTGCAAAGAGTCGGACTCAACTGAGCAACTGAACTGCGTCTAACTGTGAGAATTACTTTAAAAGTAAATTAACACAATGGGATATAATTACACACCTATCAGAATGGCTAAACTAAAACAATTTACTGACAACTCCAACTGCTGGCAAGGAGGAGGAGAAACAGGATCTCTCGTACCCTGCTAGGAGGAATGGACAATGGCAGGGCTAAGGCGAAAAACAATTTCACAGTGAAAGCAAAGTGAAAGTGTTAGTCGCTCAGTCCTGACCAACTCTTGCAACCCCATGGACTGTAGTCCACCAGGATTCTCTGTCCATGGGATTTTCCAGGCAAGAATAGTGGAGTGGGCTGCCATTTCCTTCTTTAAAATATATATGAGTTACTCCAAACAGGAAATAGAGGAAGAGAGGAGGAAGGTCCTTCATACTAAGTTTTTTTAGATAATACATACAAGATCAAATGTCAATTTGCTTAATTATGGGCTTCCCAGGTGGCTTAGAATCTGCTTGCAATGTAGGAGATAAAAGTTCGATCCCTCGGTCAGGAAGATCCCTGGAGGAGGGCATAGTAATCCACTCCAGTATTCTTGCCTGGATAACCCCATGGACAGAGGAGCCTGGCGCACTATATAGTTCATGGGGTCACACAGTCAGACATGAGAGAAATGACTTAGCATGCATGCATGCCCTTAATTGTGCTCATTGCTTGTTATTGCTTTAGGTTAATTAACCTAATCAAGATGAGAACTGTGATTTTCTGATGTTTTTATGATCCATGAGAGGATAAAGGCGTAATATGGCATATAAACAGTTCTATAGGTTGATAGGTCAATTAACACAGAATTTAGATTTGAAAGATATGGCTCAATTCTGACTAAATACAGCTACTCAATTCTGACTAAACATAGGATATCCACTTTAAGATCTGACATAAGTACTGCATATCTCACTGTAGGTTTTAAAGTTGATCCTTTCTCTGTTTTAATATGCTCGGGCCAAAACTTTAGCAACAGAATCTCTTGAATCCCTGCATGTTTTCTCTCCAAACAGTAGCTTCTCTTCTAAGGTATTCCCCAAAACTACTGAACATGTAATCTCTCCCTTCCATTAGTCTATAGCTCTTCATTCCAGTCACTAGTAGTTCCTAACAATGCCACCACCTTCTGGAAGAACAGTGGACTGCCTCAGGAGTGGGCTAAATCAACCAACACAGAGCACAGTGCCAGGAACCAGCATAAAGGAGACCTGTTTGCCTTCTGTATAACCTTCGCAAGTCAGCACATTCTCCTTCCCAAACCACCAGTGCATAAAAATGAAAGCAGAGACTATCTTCCCTTTATTTCCAAAGGAATCTTAAAAGAAGGAATTATTAATTAATCTGGTTTTTTAATTGTGCAATTAACTTGGGTCCAATACCTTCTGGGAGCTGGGAATTTCTTTGACCCTTACTCCTCTTCAGGCGAACCAGGCTGGTAGCAGAAGAAACAGTTAAGATCGAAGTTAGCACACCTAAATTCCAGAACAGACATGGCATAGTCCAACACCTGCGGGGCCAGATGGTTGCCAAACCCAATGATGACAGCACTAGCACCTCAAGCAGTTCTTCATGGTTCAACGAACCAAGTTCATACCCTGCCACAATTTTCAATCCAGCATTTCCATAAATTTGCCCTGGGTTAGGGGGCTGCACTTGGAACTTCTCAAAAAACATTTGCCTCTGCTTTCCTTAGGTTGTTTTCTTTATGTGGCACAATCTCTGCTCATACTTCTGCTCTTATGAAAAGACTGAAATAGCCCTCTCCTTCTTTTCCTCCAGTTCTGAATAAACCATGTTTGCCACAAAGCCTCCTCGGATATCCTACATTTATTCTTCTTTTGCTTTGCCTTTCTGCAACATTCACCCAGCATGGTCTGTAATATACCCCAAGAGGCATAGACTTGGGCCCTCTGGAGCTTTCAGTCCCTCAGATGTCCCAGGCTCACCTGTGACTTCAGCTAATACCTACTTCTTTCGTTCTTATTTTTCTGATTTCCAGATCCTCATCCTGTCCAGCTTTCCGAACTCTCCAGAGATATGTTTCACTGACATTTTTTAAAATTAAAAGTCTAACAGAGAATTATTTTCCCTCTGTTCCCCCTAAATTACCTTTCCTCTAAACATCCCAATCTTTGCCCATCATTAAGCCACTCCATTTAGAAAATGTGTAATTTCTCCATCTCATTGGGAGTCTAAGATAGGGTTAGTACTCAAGGATTGTAAGAGAAAGGAGAAAGAATCTTATGGCTGCCAGAGAAGATCTTTATGGTTAGCCTTCAAGGCACCAGAGAGAGGAGGGTGGAAAACAAACTGCAAAGAAATACCGTCCTTTCAGTACCAATGGGTAATAGCATTATAAATGCTGTGTTTTATTAAACAAAAAAAGCTGTTGTCTGACTGTGGGCAATGCTGTTTGGGCTGTACTCATTGTTACAGGAACAAGTGCAGACAGACATAACCTCTGAACATGGTAGTCATGCCAGCTGAACTCGTTCCATCCCTCTGCAAGCTATCCTGGCACAATTCGTCCGCATTCCAACCTTTGTTAATACATCTCCTTGGTCTGGAACTTTCACCCTCTGAGCTTTACCTAAACCTAAGATATCCCTTTTTTTTGTGCTCACGTCAAGCCCTACCTTCTGTAAGCACACCTCTCGGAACTATTTATTTAGCACTGGCAATAATTCATGCAAGGCAATAATAAGCTAACACTTAAAGAGAGCCGACTCTATACTGGGCTTCACTCACACCTACATACGAATTAATTTAATCTTCACAATGCTCCCAGTGTATAAGTACTGTTATTCTCCCCATTTTACAGGTCAAGAAACTGAGATCCAAAGTGGTTAAGTAAGCTGCCCATGACCTGAGCGACCAGTCTACGGAACCCACATTCTAACCCACTCTGCTACAGGCAACATCCTGTCCATCAGATTTTGCTAACTTAAATAAAAGAGCTACAAGTGAAAGTGAAAGTCACTCAGTCATGACTCTTTGCGACTTCATGGACTAGACAGGCCATGGCATCCTCCAGGCCAGAGTACTGGAGTGGGTAGCCTATCTCTTCTCCAGGTTATCTTCCCAAGCCAGGAATCGAACCCAGGACTCCTGCATTGCGGGCAGATTTTTTTACCAGCTGAGGCACAAGGGAAGCCCAAAGAGCTCCAAAGGCCACAATAAAACCAACAAATCCAAATAGGCTTTTGATATCTCTGAGGAAGGGGAGGCACTGGTGCAGGAAGGTTAAGTTTAGAAACAGACTGTGGAGAAATTAACTGACAACAGGAGTCAGTCAGGCTCTCCTGTCACACTCTCTCACGGTCTTGTACCTTATATTCTGTAAACAATGATATTCTGACCTTGGTAGCACTGGGCCTGTGCGCGCACTTGGCCATGGGCCACTTTGTCTGTCTTGGTATATCAGCAGTCTTTGAAGACTCCTTGCTGCTGCTGCCGCTGAACAGAGATTAAACATGTCTGCAGTCCCTACAGCTCCTCAGTCTTCGTTCAGCTTCCCTGGTCGTGCCTTCCCTACCCTGGGTTCAGTGAACAGTGTGAGCGGCAAGACACAGACCAGTTAGAATACCAGCTCTATCATTTTCTAGTTAATCAATTTCGAGCAAGTCAAGTCACCTAACCTTTTTTAGCATGAGCCTCTGCGTCTGAAAGTCTATAAAATACTTTTTAGAATGGTTGTGAGAATTAAATGAGATGATACAGGTAAAGCACCAAGCACATGGCTGCCACCTAGTATGTGATCAATAAATGTTGGCTCTAGAACATAAGAAGAGGCTCAAATTGTGAAAGAGCGTGCCCTGTCTTCGCTAAAGTATTACACAATGGTTATAAAATGGTATTAAGCAGTAACCATAAAAACCTAATCCCTTACAATACACTAATGTGATTTTACTAATTTCCTTAATACCCCAAGCCTGTAAAAGAGCCAAACATTAATTATCTCTGATGAAACAAAAACAGCCTCTCCTCTGGGTATCAGACTGAAACAGGAAAGGGCCTATAACTCACTAAAGACAAATGCAAATAACAATAAAAAGCAAAAAACCAGCAGTGGAAAAGTTCCCATAAAGTGCACCAACAAACGGGAGTGTATCGGGATAGTTCTGGAAAGTGCGTCTTAAGGGCTGAAGGTTCAATGTGATGAGAACCCGACGCAAGACTCTACAGTTTTTGGAGGTCTGGAAAGCGGACCTGGGAGGCAGTTTCAGTTCCCTTTCTAGGAAGAGGGATAGGAAAGGGCTCCCCTGTGCCACGATGCCACGATGAGCCCACCCGTGCAAGATGCTCGCGTCCCAGCCGGGTTAAAGGGCAGAGGAAATTCTCCTTTTGGTCGATAAGGCCCACCAACTCCGAGGTCCCTTTCTAACTCGGGAGCAGGGCCGCGTTAAAGAGGACAGGCGTGAACTGCGCAAAATGAGACTGCTCACAATTCAACGATCTTTTTAGTGGGGAAGGGTAGGCGGTGAAAATGTGAGCATTGGGAAAAGTCGGCATCAGATAAGTGACATCTCTGCAAAATGCCTCCAAAGACTCTCAGGATCCAATGGCCTGCAAAAGCTTCCTTGCAGCTGTTGTCTCTCCGACCCCACGCGAGGTTCACTGCTCCTCCACAGAAGCTTTTAGACCAGTCCCTCGCCTACTTCTCACCAGCTGCTACTCCCAGCCTTCCTTACGGAAACTGAGGCCGGTTGGATCAGAGGCCTGGAAAGAGGTCGGGGTCGTGGCGTGCCCGCGGTAACAGGTCTTGGGACAGACCTGGCGGAGGGAGGGAAGCGCGGGTCCGGGACAGGGACCGGGCACACACCACCCTCCCACCCCAGTCCTGTTAGGAAAAGACTCCTCTGCCGCTGCCAAGGTAATCCGGGACCTCCCCAAGACGCCGGCCTCGAGCGCACTCACCAGCGCGCCGCCGCTCAGCAGCCGAACAGTAGCTCGCTCCATCAGTGCTAGAAAGCAGATGCTACTGATCCGGCCCAAACGTGCCCTAGGGCCGCACGCGAACACCTGAAGACAGGTAGAGACAGAGCCCCGCCCACTCACCCCGCCCTTTGTTCCGCCCCCCTGTCCCGACGGTACGCCGAGAGGGACAACAGCCTCCCTTCGCTTTTCGCTCTGCTCACGCGAGAGTTGGGCACGGCAGTGGGGCGGGAAGGGAACCGGAGACACAACAAACATGGCGGCGGCGGTGACGAAGACGGCGGGGGCGACGGCGACGGCAGGGGCGTTGAACAAGGTGGTGGGGGTTCCTCGGTGCGACTGTCAGGCGGTAAGTAGCTGGTCGTCGGCTCGGACGGCGGTGACAGGGCTGAGCAAAGCGGTTAAGGAGGAGCGGCGTGGGGAGAGAGCCGGGTGCTCGCGACGGGCCGGCTGACTCCGCCCGGGACTCAGCCCCAGCGGAGGGGCGGGCGTGGTTGGTCGGTCGGTCGTTAGGGTCGCGCCCGGGACCTTCCTGACAGGAGCGCGGAGGGTGCGGTGTCTGGGCCTCCGGAGCTCCGAGGGAGCTGTGTCTGCGGTGGGGTCGCCGTCAGTTGGGGGTTTGGAGGCTCCGGGGTAGGGAGTAGCCTCTCTCGCTCTGACAGGTGGTCGCGAGGGCGGGGGGGGGCGCGCCCCGAGGTTCGCGTCATCACTAGGTCCCTGGGCCCGGGGTCTCCGCTGAGGCGCGGGTCTCCTAGGCGTTCCGAATCCTGGTGAGGATGCCGCCCCGACGCCAGTTGCGGGCTGCCGGTTGGGAGGACTTTAAAAACCTTCCGTCTTTTATCACAGTCCGGTCTTGATCCTTTTCTACTGCTTGAGAGCACTCCCTCTACTTGGGGGGATATGTGAGATGTAGAGAGGATTTTGCAACAAAGAACTGTTGAGGTTCGTGCAGGATTTAAATCTTAACATAACTGGCCGAAGTGTAAGTAGCCAAGCCATACACCTCCTAAATGCTCGGTAATTGAATCTAAAGTGAAGTTAAACCGGTTCCGGCTGCCCCTAACCGAGCGGCCCAGTTAGTGGCCCTTTAGTGTGCTGTTTAGGTCCGAAGAGGATCGACTAGTGGGGAAAAGAAATACAGGCCCTTTAAGTTGTGAGCTCTGAAGAACTCAAGTTTGGAATACACACGACTTCTTTAGAATGACTGTTTAAACATCTGAGCTAACAGTTTTACAAATTCCCTTTAGTTTTGATTTATGTTGTGCATTTAACACGACGGTATGTTAATATAATCTTGGGAGTTCGTTACAGAGAATTGAGGTGTTTTTTTGCCTCCTGGGATCCCAAGAGTTTCCCAAGGAAACCCGAAGTGTTTTGAGTTGCGACAGAGAGGACAGTAAAGATGGGGATCAGATATGCCGTTATTAGGCGTGCCTGGTGGGTTTGTTCTTTTAAACCTTTTCCCGCAAATGTTTCCCTGTGGGGCTACGCTAATACCTCGTTTTCATGCAGTTACAGCTGTTCTGCAGTACCAAGCCTGAGCCTTTTTGAAGTGTACTGTGAAAAATTAAATAAATAATTTAATTTAGAAAGACAAAATTTTTGCCCAAAATGTGAAATCTTAAGAAATCGACCAGCGGGGGAAAAAAACGATAGTCACACTGATGCATGTTACTCTTTGTTGATTAGTTGGAGATTTTGCTGAAATGAAGCTGCTGCTTTGGTCTTTATCTTCCAGCTTAGTTTTCTGGTTCGAGTAAAACTGGCACGTTATTTTATTAGCTTATTAAACCTGTGGATGTTAATTTTTTATCTGTGGTCTGTTTTTCTTTGCGGAACTCTGTATGGCTTTTCAATTTTAGTTGAAATTCCCTCCATGGCCTTTGGGAGTCTCTTGGTGTGTCTCCAGAGTAAATTTCGATTACTCTACATTTCATCAATGTTGGAGTGGCAAGAAAAAGGAGGAACTGATTTGGGGTGAAAAGGTTAGATTGCATACATCTTTATTTCTTCCAACGTGTTTTTGTTTATGTTTTATATTATGTTTTATGATTTCTCAAAGCCTCATAATGTGCCTTTTGCTTTTGAAGAATTTGCTTTTTTGACAGTTATGTAATTCTTTCTGAAGTTTCATGTTCTCTGTACAAAGGAAGCGTTATGTATTCTATGGCAGAGTAATCAGGACCATAATTGTTAAGGTATAAAAATATATATACATTCATTGAACTGCAGTCACAGTGTGTATATAGGCTGTCTAAACCCCAAATTAAATTATTGTACAAGGAAGTTAGTTGCTAAGTCGACTACTTTAGATAAAATAAAATAGATCCTACTGCTGCCTAATCATATTCTCAAAATCTCCTGTAGCTTATTAAAAAAATAGAGTTTGGGAGGAAGGTAGGTTAAAGAGTTCCTTCTGGTTCTCATATTACCTCTCTTTCTTATGATTGTCTTCTAATTTGCATCATGATGCCTCTGTTTTAAATTGTTAGCTCCTAGTTAAGAGGGTTTGTGGGTGTATTGATGAGCAACTTCCCTTTCTTAGTGTGAGACTGAAGGAGATCAGAGGACTTGAATATCAGGACCCAGAGAAGGTCAGAGAAAAGTTGTAAGTTACCTGCTTAAACAGGTTTTTGTGTTCTTTTGGGATATCAAAACTTATTTCTCAGATGCTTCTTTCTTTCACTAGCATGGGTAATTTCTGGTTGTTTTGTAAGAATCTTATTTGTAAGTTTTGAATGGATAGTTGGGGAGGGCTGTTGGCATAAAAATAATTTAGGTGCATTCTAGCTAATTTCTGTATAGACATGTATCTCGAACCCGTGGAATACCATGCCAGCTTAACTTTAATCAGAGGGATCACAGGGAGGACTCAGAATTTTGCTGTATCATAGGCAATGATAATGAGGACATTATAGTTTGCTGATTCTGAAAGTAGATTTTTATGTTAACATTTGCAAAAGTTTTAAAATTTATCACTGTCTTAGCTGCATCTCTAGATACTAGTTAATTTATGGAGTTCTTAGATTAAACATTCCGTCCTGAGACGGAAGTCTGTCTAAAGTCTATCTAAAGATAGGAAGATGGTTTGGATACAAAAACCCTTAATTTTTTTTCCCCTCCATATCAGGAACTCTTCTGTAGTTTCAGAATTATTGTTCTTTTTCTAATTATTGCAATTAGAACTACTGACTTGAGATGGAGAAAGTTCGGTTTTCAACTGTAGACTCTATTCGGATTTAGGAATCTCTCATATATACTTGCTTGTTTTATAGACTAGACCCCTGCAAGGGCTTGCAAGTCTGCAGTGGGGGAGGAGTCTTGCAGGTCTGTGTGGGAGGAGGTGATGTAGGTCAAGTGGGCACAAAATTGCTTAGGGATGGAATGACAATTTTTAAATCATTGCGGGATGTCTGTGGTTATAAACCATATCGATATATTTAAAATTTTTAAGTATAGAGTTTCTCTCAAGTTTCCAATGTTCAGTTCAGTCACTCAGTCGTGTCTGACTCTTTGCGACCCCATGAACCGCAGCACGCCAGGCCTCCCTGTCCATCACCAACTCCCGGAGTTTACTCAAACTCATGTCCATTGAGTCAGTGATGCCATCCAACCATCTCATCCTCTGTCATCCCCTTCTCCTCCTGCCTTTAATCTTTCCCAGCATCAGCGTCTTTTCAAATGAGTCAGTTCCTCACATCAGGTAGCCAAAGTATTGGAGTTTTTCAGCTTCAGCATCAGTCCTTCCAGTGAACACCCAGGGCTGATCTTTAGGATGGACTGGTTGGATCTCCTTGCAGTCCAAGGGACTCTCAAGAGTCTTCTCCAACACTGCAGTTCAAAAGCATCAATTCTAAGACGCTCAGCTTTCTTTGTAGTCCAACTCTCACATCCATACATGACTACTGGAAAAACCGTAGCTTTGACTAGACAGACCTTTGCTAGTAAAGTAACATCTCTGCTTTTTAATATACTGTCTAGGTTGGTCATAACTTTTCTTCCACGGAGCAAGTGTCTTTTAATTTCATGGCTGCAGTCACCATCTGCAGTGATTTTGGAGCCCCCCAAAATTAAGTCTCTTACTGTTTCCATTGTTTCCCCATCTATTGGCCAGGAAGTGATGAGACCAGATGCCATGATCTTAGTTTTCTGAATGTTGAATTTTAAGCCAGCTTTTTCACTCTCCTCTTTCACTTTCATCAAGAGGCTCTTTAGTTCTTCGCTTTCTGCCATAAGGGTGCTGTCATCTGCATATCTGAAGTTATTGATATTTCTCCCAGCAATCTTGATTCCAGCTTGTGCTTCCTCCAGTCCAGCATTTCTAGTGATGTACTCTGCATATAAGTTGAATAAGCAGGGTGATAATATACAGCCTTGACTTCTTTCCTGATTTGGAACCAGTCTGTTGTTCCATGTCCAGGTCTTACTGTTGCTTCTTAACCAATGTTGTCTTCCCTTTTTTCACTGGCATCCTTTGTGGTTGTTTTTTTAAGTCCATCGTGCATTTTGATTGAAAATCAAATTTATGGCGGGGAACACAGTGAAATTTGTAATGTGACAATGTGATAATAGCCTGGACTGTCAGAATATGCCAGCCATCCTCTGTGATTAGGTTTATTTGTGTTCTTAAAACTTGAGATGCATACATAAAAATGTCCTGCATTTTTCCCTGCAGTCTCTTGCATTTTTCCTCCTGCCTTGTGGTGTGTACCTTAGCAGTGTTATGCTTTCTAATCATGATTTGGTGTAATTTATCTTGCTTGTTGAAGAAGTATGTTCAGATACTTTGCAGTGGAAACATTGGTTTTTATGTGAAGTGATCGGCAAGAAGTGATGCTAAGTTGACATGAAACACCAGAATTTCTTTCTAAACTACAGCCTTTATAATTAGAACACAATCTGTAGGGCCTTAACAGCTTTTATATTTTAAAAAACAATTTCCCAGATCTTATTCTTTTCTTTTTTGGGGCGGGGGGAGGGGTATCTCCCAGTCCTTATACATTTTAGTACTTTTTTCGTTTTTATATTGTGAGGGGCTTTTACCTGTGTTGAATGGCAGTGGTAATAGCAAGCATTCTTTCGTTCTTAATTCTAGAGGGAATGCATCTAAATTTTCTCCCTTAATTGTGATGTAGATTTTCAGAAGTGAGCCTTTAGCAGCTTGAGGAAGTTTGTTGTTTCTTTGTATCCAGTGCTGCTACTCTATTGGTTTTTCTATGTGGGTTGGCCATCTTTTCTCACTAGAAAATTTCCTATTACTCCTTTTGTCTTTGAGGTTTTAAAATTTCACAATGATATGTCTAAGTGTTATTTTATTACATGTTCTATTTTGCACTCTATGCTCCCTTTAAGACTGAAATGAAAGAAATCTTTAATCCTGGAAATTTCTTGATCATTTCTTTAAAAAGCATTTCTCTTTATTTTTCTCTATCATTTTGGAATTCATTCTGCATCTTTATCTGCTATTATTTCTTACCTTTTTATGTATATTTTTATGTTTCTCCCCATCCCTGTATATTTTGAGGTGTGGTTTTCAAGTTTATTGAGATACAATCTTATCATCAGTTCATTCGCTCAGTCATGTATAGTTAGTTCTTTGCAACCCCATGGACTGCAGCACACCAGGCTTCCCTGTCCATCTTCTTATAGTTTTATTTTTTCGGCTGCACTGTGCAGCCTGAAGGACCTTAGTTGCCTAATCAGGGATCCAGCCCATGCCCCCTGCCGTGGAAGTGTGGAGTTTTAACCACTGGACCGCCAGGGAAGTCCCTATTACAGGTTATTATTATTATTTTAAATCTTATTCTTGATGATCATTTTCACTGTAGCTGATTGGCCAACTTTTTTTTTTTCCTAAGCAAAGGGCAGATTTTAAAGGACAAATAATCAGCAGAATCAAGTATGGTCATAAATACTAATACAATGATTAGGAGACATAGAGAAGCAGTTCAGGTTGACAGATAGATGAGAAAACAACTGAAACAAACTTGTTTAGAAGCCAGCAATAATCCTTAAGATTGAGAAAGCTGAGCCAGATTAAAGCAACTGACTTAAAGAGGTGGCCTAAAAGAGGAAAATAAGAAGAGATGAGTTTGGGAAATTGTAAATTGATTTGGGAAATTGCAAATTGGAATACATGAATAATGGAGAAAAGTGGACCATGTTTGTTTCATTGTAACCACAGACGAGATATATAAAATGGTAACATAAGACACTTGGAATTTTGGACAATGGGGAATTTCTTAATCTAAGGTATAACCATTTTTGGCTGCAGAAATAGCTGCTGTTGTCTGAAAACATACCATAAACTGCACATCTTGCAAGATACTTATACTTACATGTAAAACTTAAAACAGTACTGCAAATTGGTACTGTTATCTCATTTTACAAAATAGGAAACTAAGGCTAGAGAAGACCCTGTTCAGAGTCTTAAAGGTAGTAGGTTTAACCTAATAGCACAATAAAATTCTGTTCTTCCAGAGGACGGACTTTTCAGTAGCCTCAACTTTGTAGAAAACGGTGAAAAGAGACAGTAATAATAATGACCCCTAGGCATCTTCTAAAAAAGGAGCAAAGAAACTATTCAAACATGTTGCCTTAAGAAAAGTGAGGATTTGGTCACCTGTACGTTCTTACTTGGCCGAATGTTTCTGGAATAAAGAACAAATTAAATGTTAGGAGAGAGGAAGGCAAGAAAGATAAAAATAAAATGTATCGGTCTCGGGCCAGTGAACAAGGGAAACCAGATGAGCCCCCGTGTTCTTATTGGTTCCTCAGTTCAGTTCAGTCGGTCAGTTGTGTCCGACTCTTTGCCACCCTATGAACCACAGCAGGCCAGGCCTCCCTATCCATCACCAACTCCTGGAGTCCACCCAAACCCATGTCCATTGTGTTGGTGATGCCATCCAACCATCTCATCCTCTGTCGTCCCCTTCTCCTCCTGCCCTCAATCTTTCCCAGCATCAGGGTCTTTTCAGATGGGTCAGCTCTTCGCACCAGGTGGCCAAAGTGTTGGAGTTTCAACTTCAGCATCAGTCCTTCCAAGGACTGATTTTCTTTAGGATTGACTGCTTAGATCTCCTTGCAGTCCAAGGGACTCTCAAGAGTCTTCTCCAACACCACAATTCAAAAGCATCCATTCTTCAGCACTCAGCTTTCTTTATAGTCCAACTCTCACATCCATACATGATTACTGGAAAAACCATAGCCTTGACTAGACGGACCTTTGTTGACAAAGTAATGTCTCTGCTTTTTAATATGCTGTCTAGGTTGGTCATAACTTTCCTTCCAAGGAGTAAGCGTCTTTTAATTTCATGGCTGCAATCACCATCTGCAGTGATTTTGGAGCCCAAAAAAATAAAGTCTGACACTGTTTCCACTGTTTCCCCATCTATTTCCCATGAAGTGATGGGACCAGATGCCATGATCTTAGTTTTCTGAATGTTGAGCTTTAAGCCAACTTTTTCACTCTCCTCTTTCACTTTCATCAAGAGGCTCTTTAGTTCTTCTTCACTTTCTGCCATAAGGGTGGTGTCATCTGCATATCTGAGGTTATTGATATTTCTCCCGGCAATCTTGATTCCAGCTTGTGCTTCTTCCAGCCCAGCGTTTCTCATGATGTACTCTGCATATAAGTTAAATAAGCAGGGTGACAATATACAGCCTTGACATACTCCTTTTCCTATTTGGAACCAGTCTGTTGTTCCATGTCCAGTTCTAACTGTTGCTTCCTGACCTGCATACAGGTTTCTCAAGAGGCAGGTCAGGTGGTCTGGTATTCCCATCTCTTTCAGAATTTTCCACAGTTTATTGTGATCCACACAGTCAAAGGCTTTGGCATAGTCAATAAAGCAGAAATAGATGTTTTTCTGGAACTCTCTTGCTTTTTCGATGATCCAGCAGATGTTGGCAATTTGATCTCTGGTTCCTCTGCCTTTTCTAAAACCAGCTTGAATATCTGGAAGTTCACGGTTCACATATTGCTGAAGCCTGGCCTGGAGAATTTTGAGCATTACTTCACTAGTGTGTGAGATGAGTGCAGTTGTGCAGTAGTGTGAGCATTCTTTGGGATTGGAATGAAAACTAATTGTTGTATAACACAATCTATAGTAGCAACACAGTCAAAGCAGTCTGTTTCTAGTAGATTTCTAGTTAAAGTTAATTAAAATAGAACTTTTTGTTTTCAAAACGTTGGTCAAGTGTTTTGGGACCTCCCTGGTGGTCCATTGGCTAAGACTCCATGCTGCCACTGCAGGGGGCCAGGATCTGATCCCTGGTCCACGACTGAAGCGACTTAGCAGCAGCAGCCGCAGCAGGGAGCTAGATCCCCCATGTCGCAACTAAAGACCCTGTACACCGCAACTAAGACCCAAAGTAGCCAAATAAATAAATATATATTTTTTAAAGTTGATCACACTTTTGTTCATTGGAAAATGTGCTTTTAGCTCATTTCTTCAATGCTGCAATTCTTCCATGGAAAAACTTAGGTTGAAAAGGGTGCTGACTCAGACCATAAAGAAAAGAACCCAGAGTGGTCCAAATATTCTTCAAGAAGAAAAACAACTGGTGGACTTAAATTACTGAGATATTAAGATTTTTATTACTGAGACTGTGTGGTGGTAGTGTGAGGAGAGACCAAAATAGGCCAATGGAACAGAATGAAGAATCCAGGAATAGCATCTCGTGTATCATCTGTTTTAGAAAGGTGAGAAAAGAGGCTGGCAGAGAAAGGCTGGTCTATCAGATGCATGTTGCTCGGACAGTTGGATATCTCCGTGGGGAGAAAAAGTGTATTTTGACTCATAACTTAACAATAAGCTCAATTCCAGATAGATATGAAAGGTAAAAACATAATAAAAATTTCACAAGAAAATACAGGAGAACATCTTCATATAAAATATAGGCAAGGATACCAGCAACTCTACATGTAAAGGTAGGGGGAGGATGGGTAAATTGGACTATATTAAGAACTTCTGTTCATCAAAAGTTAGCATTAAGAAAGTGGAAAGGTGAACCACCAGAGTGTGAGAAGTACTCAAGATATACGTATCTAATAAAGGGCTTCCCTGGGGGCTCAGTTGGTAAAGAATCCACCTGCAATGCGGGAGACATGGGTTTGATCCCTAAGTTGGGAAGATCCCCTGGAGGAGGGCATGACAACCCGCTCCAGTATTCTTGCCTGGAGAATCCCGATGGACAAAGGAGCCTGGCGGGCTACAGTCCATGGGGTCGCAAAGAGTTGGACACGTCTGAGTGACTAAGCACAGCACAACAAAGAACTCACATCCAGAATATTGTGAAGAACTCTCACATATTAATTAGATGGACAACCTAATAGAGAAATGAACAAGACTTGAACAGATGCTTCATTGGGTATGAAATAGAGGTTATGTAAGCGGGAAGTTAACATAACAAGTACACAGCTTAATTATCAAGTCATACAAATTAAAACCAGTGCAATACCACCATACATGCATCAAGATGGCTAAAATGAAAAAGGCAAAAAGTACCTGAGTGTTGGTGAGGGTGTGTGGCAACAAACTCTTGTTCCACACTGATGGGAGTACAGATGGGTATAGTCACTTTGAAAACCTATCTGGCATTATCTGAAGCTGAATATATGCACACCCTTCAGCCCAGCAGTTTCAGCTGTCGGGGGTGTGGGGCCCTCGGTGGTGCACAGGGGCGCTCGTGTTGGAAGGGCACACGGTGGGGCTCCTGGCCTGCTGGTAGCCTTCCGTTTCTTGACATCAGTGTTGATTTCATGGTTGTGTTCATTTTGTGACGATTCACCAAGCCTCTATCCTTAGGATTGCTGCGCTTTTGTGTGTGTGCTATGCTTTGAGAAAAAGTTAAGCATATATACTGAGACGAGACTGATCTTTAGCTTTAGATGCCTACTACTGGCTGTCAAAGATAACTTTCTTAGATAGTAGATTACTCATTAAGTAGTTGGGGTTTAGGAAAAGAAACTTTTAGCCTAAGGCATATTTAAGAACATGTGCATAAATATGTTATTTATTAGAAGGAAAGACTTGTTGTCTCCTAGGTGCTAGACTTCCTCAGCTTGTTTTTACTAGAAAACTTTTTGGTTATTTGATTTGTGAATTTGGGCCATACACCTATGTGAAGACCAGTTTTTAGTTTATGACTGCAAAATATGACATGAGAGTTTCTCTGTTAGCATCAGGTATTTTTTTCTTTTCTGTAAAAATTTTTTTCTTATTCTCAGAATGAGTGGAATGGTGAGTGGTGGTAGAGGTGGCGATTTGGATTTCTAGGGCAGGGGTCACAAAATTTCAGCCCATAGGCCAAACCTGGCTCCGTGCCTACTTGGACCCTGATGCTGGGAAAGACTGAGGGCAGGAGGAGAGGGGGACGACAGGATAAGATGGTTGGATGCCATCACCAACTCGATGGACATGGGTTTCGGTGGATTCCCGGAGTTGGTGATGAACAGGGAGGCCTTACGTGCTGTGGTTCATGGGATCGCAAGGAGTTGGACACGACTGAACGACTGAACTGAACTTAGAACATGAGCACATTTATTCCTTTACGTATTGTCTGTGGCTGCTTTTAGCTATAGTGACAGTCACAGGCTAAAATATTTCCTATCTGGCCCTTTTCAGAAGTTTGCCACCACTGTTCTAGATCACCTACTTCTAGAGTTCTCATTCATGTGAGAATGTTGTTTTAAGACCCTTTGCTGTTTGATATGGTAGTCACTAGCCACATATAGCTATTTCACTTTTAAATTAAACAAAACTCAGGTCATTTGTATTAGCCGCATTTGAGCACTCAGTAGCTGCATGTGGCTGGTAGCACCTGTACTGGCCAGTGCAGGCGTGCACCATGGACATCATCCAGAATTCTCCCCACCAGCCCCGTTTGAGCCACTTGGTTTCTCTACTGTCTCCTTCAGTGATAATCCCTGCTGATATGCCGATTTCTTTCATCTGGATTTTTCTTTTTGTAATTTCTTTCCATCCACTCAAACTAAGTTTGAATCCCAGTTTATTTAAATATTAAATATATGAATTGTTGACTGTTTTTTGTATGTCTTCTTTAGTTCACCAGGAAGATTATAAGATATTTAAAAGCAGGGACTGTGTTCTCTTGCTTTGTAGTACCTGGCCCATAATAATCTTCATCAGTGTTGTTGTTTTGATACATACTGCATCTCCCTAAATAGTGTAAAATTATTTTATTTTCCGCCCATAGGTATAACGAACTGTAAACTCCAGAAACTTTTATATATATACATATATATATATATCAAACACAAAGATGGGTGAGAAGAAACCGGAGCCTTTGGACTTTGTGAAAGATTTCCAGGAATACCTAACTCAGCAGACCCATCATGTCAACATGATTTCTGGATCAGTTAGTGGGGACAAAGAAGCAGAGGCTCTTCAGGGAGGTAGATTCCTCTTAATACCATTAAATAATTCATTTTTTATACATGTGATGTTTGTGTGTTGTTATAGTATGAAGCCACTATTGCTTGCTAATGTGAATCATTCTGTTTTTCCTAGAAAGATGGGTAGTTTCCCGCTCCCCCCTTCTTTAAACTGGTCAGGTTTTGCTGAGGGAGAGGAAACCCCCTCCCCAGAGCTTACCCTGGGATTCAGAGATGTGTTCTCTCCTGTGCAAAAGTTGGGGATTCTAAATTTCCTTCCCATTCTTCAGGTTCCATTAGCTAACAGTGGGCACAAGGAGCCCAAAGGGGGTCCATCTTCATTACACAAGGCCTTTGGCCATTAGGAAATTTGTATTAGACCTGAGACAAAATAGAGGCTTCTGTTTCTTCTCTTAAAATGAAGAGAGGGCCCACCGTGTGTGCTCACCTAGGAGGTGAAACTAGAAGAGAGAAAGCAGTGAGTACTGGAACCTGTCCTACCTGCCCTACAGAGAGACCGGCGGGTTTGCTCCCACATGAAGACTGGGGTCTCTTCCTAACCCTCGCTCAGGAGGCAGCAAACTGCAGCCTGTGGGCCCCATCTGGACTGCTGGTGTGGTTGCTAAGAGTGGTTTCTACATTTGTAAATGGTTGATAGGAAAAAGAAAAATAATGTCATGACACATGAAAATTAACACGAAATTCAAACTTCAGCATCCATAAAGTTTTACTGGAACATAGCCATGCTTGCTGACCTATTTTCTATAGCTGTTTTTGAGTTATAGCAGCAGAGTCAAGTAACTCTGAGAGACTTTGTGGCCCACAGCCTGAAATATTTGCTATCTGACCCTTGTGGGAAAACTATGCTAACCTTTGACCTAGATGGCCTAGGGCTTTGTAATTCAGGGACCAGCAACAGCAGAGACAGGCATCACCTGGGAACTGGTGAGAAGTGCAAACCGTCAGGCCCCACCCCAGATCTATTGAATCAGCAGCTATATTTTAATAAACTCCCCAAGTGATTCCATATGCATGTAAAATTTTGGAAGTCACTGCTTTAGAAAAGCAATGGGAGAAACGGGGACACTGAGCCTGGTTGTCCGTCCAGTACAATGGACCCATTGGATTTTGGACTTGGACCAACCGGCAAAGTCCCTTCTCTCCTCCTGGTGAGGGATGGAGGAAACCGTAGAGCAGAGGGCTCAAGCTGCCCATCCATCATGGCTGCCTCCCGAAGATGGTGTAGAAGTGCTTTTCCCATGAAACTGGAGGAACAGACACTCCGTCTTAATGCTCTAGTGTACAATTCCTGGACTCGGATTCGAGAGAGCAGGGTTGTAGTCCCCACCATCTGCTGGTTTTCCAGACCTGAGCACTTGCTCCTTCAGTTTACCTATACAAAGTAGTTGATTAAAATTGAACAGCCCAACATCTCTTTAACTGAAATTCTTACAGGTTATAACATCCAGAGATATCAGATACAATATTTCCCTTTATGTGCTTAACTAGAATTTTAAGGTCCTAAATGCAACTCAGGGTCTAGAACATACATGTAAGCTGAGTGGAACTACAAAACTCAACATGAATTACTCTAGATTAAATAGACTAGGATTTGGGAAGATGATCATGATGGCCCATTGTATTTGTAGAAGTGGCTAGAATCTTAAACATGTAATTGCCAAAACTGTTTACTCCCCTCTTTCTCCTTACCTGTTCAGATAAAGGTAATGCCCTGTTCTCTTCCTCAAAAGCATGTTGAACACTGATATGTGTTAATGATTTGAGATCCCCCTCATATAATGCTGCTTTTGTATGGAATTAATGTCAGTTCAGAAAGACTGTGATTTTTGTGAATTTAACTTTTATGCTAAGCGACCTGTCAGTTTATGAAAGATTTTCTACCACTCAATACTAAATTGCTAAATTGAGTTGATGCTGAGATGCATAATTTCTTTTGCTATACTTTGTTTGTAGCTGGAACAGATGGTGATCAAAATGGACTTGATCACCCATCTGTTGAAGTTTCCCTGGATGAAAACTCAGGAATGTTAGTAGACGGGTTTGAAAGGACCTTTGATGGAAAGCTCAAGTGTCGGTACTGCAACTATGCCAGCAAAGGCACCGCCCGGCTCATTGAACACATTAGAATTCACACAGGTAACGGAGAAGGGGCTGGAGAGGGGCCGAGGAGGGCAGGTTGATCTGTCATATAAATAGTTGTGATTGTTTGAAAATGAAGGTTGATGTAAGGTTTGAGTAAATGGAGAAGTGAATCCAGTTTTACAAAGCAATAGCATGACAGCATACAAGGAAGACCCCTTGTAAGCTTCCCCTTCCTTAGCTATCTTCCTTCGTGGTCTAAACTCAGTATCTGTCAGCTTTTCACATTGGCCAGCTTAATGCTAAAGGCAGAATGAAGTGATAAATGTTTTTATCTTTATCCTGTCGTAAGTCCATTGCCATTGCAGGCTAGGGAGGAGGTTTCTGTACAATTGCAGGCGACACTGCTAACCCTTAGATGTCGCCTTAGCCATCCCTTCTGTGAAAGGAATATATTCCACTAGTCAGTATAGTATGAAGATTATTGTATGCAGCTTTCTTAACAGATTTTAATAATATTTTGTGCATGTATGTATTTCCGAAAAGCATTTTATTTTTGATCAGTTTCTAAATAATGAATGGACAAAATATGAAATTTTTCATAAATGAGCTACTTCTGCAGTTTCTCTCCCATTTTTCTTTTTAAACAGGTGAGAAACCTCATCGATGTCACTTGTGTCCATTTGCATCTGCCTATGAGCGTCATCTGGAAGCCCACATGCGTTCCCATACAGGAGAAAAACCATACAAATGTGAATTGTGTTCCTTCCGCTGCAGTGACCGAAGCAACCTGTCCCATCATCGAAGGCGCAAGCATAAAATGGTACCAATTAAAGGTACTAGGTCTTCCTTAAGCAGCAAGAAAATGTGGGGGGTTTTACAGAAGAAAACTAGCAACCTGAACTATAGCAGAAGAGCACTCATCAACTTAAGCCCACCTTCCATGGTGGTTCAGAAGCCAGACTACCTTAATGATTTTACCCATGAAATCCCAAATATCCAAACTGACTCCTATGAAAGTATGGCGAAAACCACACCAACTGGAGGCCTGCCAAGAGACCCCCAAGAACTCATGGTTGACAACCCTTTAAACCAGCTCTCAACTCTAGCCGGACAGCTGTCCAGTTTGCCACCTGAAAACCAAAACCCCGCATCCCCTGATGTAGTTCCCTGCGCCGAGGAGAAGCCGTTCATGATGCAGCAGCCCTCTGCCCAGGCAGTAGTTTCTGCCGTGTCAGCAAGTCTTCCTCAGAGCTCCTCTCCCACCAGCCCCGAGCCTCGGCCGTCCCACGGTCAAAGGAACTACAGTCCGGTGGCAGGGCCGAGCAGTGAACCAAGTGCCCACACGAGTACCCCGAGCGTGGGAAACAGCCAGCCGAGCACTCCAGCTCCCACCCTGCCAGTCCAGGACCCGCAGCTTCTCCACCACTGCCAGCACTGTGACATGTACTTTGCCGACAACATCCTTTACACTATTCACATGGGATGTCATGGGTATGAAAATCCTTTTCAGTGTAACATATGTGGATGCAAATGTAAAAACAAGTATGATTTTGCCTGTCATTTTGCAAGAGGGCAGCATAACCAACACTGAAAACAATCACGCTATGCTTTCGTTGCTTCGCCTTCTTGTGTTTTATAGTTTACTGTTGTTTTTTGCGGGGGAGGGGTGGGGTCGTGTCATCCCTAATAAGGTGTCTGCTAATTTAAAGTTCTATACATATAGAGTATAAGTTTGACAGTGGAAACAAAATGTCTGTTTTCTTTTTTTCATAGATGCCTCGTCAGGGTCATTTATGTATTAGAAGAGTTGGACACATTGGTGTTTTAATTTTTTTTCCTTTCATTTAGACATTTGAGAATTTGAGTGCAATCATAATCTTACAAGTGGTTATTTAAATTTCTCACATTTACAGTCCATAAAAACGTCAAGGCTGATGGATACTCTTGGTATTTCAACATCTGAATTACAGCTAGATGTTATTTCTGCCATACTTTCAAAATGGTAGAATAAATTACTTTCTCTTTCAAAATGTATTCCAACTTATTTCAATGTTTTGTAGAGGAGTTGCCTTTGAAATTGCCCTTAATTAAAAATTAGTTAATATAGCTTAGTTGAATCAATAGTTTAATTTTAACTGGTAATAGTAAAGCAGTATCAGTGTAGTAAATCTTTCTTTTTTCCATAAGGGCAAATGTAAAACATTTAATTCCTTTAAAATTAAAGTTATAAAAACATGAGGTAAAAGTTCTGAAAAGAAATGAAACTGACTGTAAATTGAAAATGGAGTTTAATATTTAAAATACCTGCTTATTCAGTTTCTAGTTTAAACATAGCAGTTTTCCATTGTATTCTTTTTATTGTAATTTATTTAAAAAACTACCAGTAAGTACTCGAGAAACCCTAGAAATATCAGAGGGTTATCTATGAAGATGCCTTTTTTTCTTTTAATTTGAATTTTTCATTTAAATCTTCACTCTGATGTTACAAAATGAGTTTTACAGCCAAATTGAGAATATGTTATTCCTTCCATTCCTTTGATGACCAAAGAGGTACAGTGGAAGTCATCCATCTTATTCCTAGGAAATGTGGTCCTTCCAAAAAAAAAAATCTGAAGTTTCCTTTTCCTGCCTGCTATCCATTTATTGCCCATAATTTTCAAGAAAAGGTAGATATAGAAACACTTGGGAAAATGTGATGGTGAAGTAACATTTACAAAAATGAGAACATATGTCCACAACAAATTCTGTTCTCTTCAGAAATGGCCATTTAAGGTATTTTCTGTGAATTCAAGTTATAACACTTATTTGCAGTTTTACCAGTCTTTCATGTATGGCAAGAAAACTATATGAAAACTGTGAACTGAATCATCGCCTTAGTAGAAGAGGATATAGATATAAAAATGCATTTAAACATATTTGTTTACAAAAATAAAACTTGCTATATAAATCTAGAATAATTTTGAATAGGAGGCTGTTGTTTTTATATTGTGTAATAACTAGCTTACTCTGAGGACAGCTTGGTCAAACAATAAAATATATTGTTACTAACTGTTGGCTTCTGTGTACTTTGCAAAATTTTTGTTTTTAATTTGGTTCAAATCTTGAAAGTGTTATTAATTGGCTTCTTAAAGCAAACATTTTAATTATTAAGCATTAACTAAAAAGGACTTCTACTCTTAAAGTAAGTGAAAGGGAAATATTGGTGGTATCTGTCCACAAAAACCCCCAAGTGCCAAGTTAATGGATCTTTTGCCCTCTCTTCCAAATACTACAAAGCCATTAAAATGAGTTCTTGTGGTTTAATCTAATCTCCACTACACTGTGGAAAGAGCAGCACTGAGGAGTTTCTCTAGACAGCTCTTCCTGTCAGCCTGAGGCCTGTGAATCTCAAGTCTGCAGTCTCTTCTGCTCTGTTTCTTGGAGCTCTTGCTCCTCGGATCAGTTTTAGAGCAGCCTTTTCCAAATGTCTAACTTGACCCTCGTATGTATATACTGTCAGAAACAGGGTGCTGTCATTTGGACGCTTTTGCATTTATTTTTTTCTTCTATTGTATTTTTTATATAAAAGCAATACCACAAAATAGGAAATGGAAGTTTTCATTAAACAAAAAGGAAGAACTCTAATGTTAAAACCAGTTTATTAACTGTATATTCTGGGCCAAATAGTGACAAATGTGGTTTCTTTTTTTCTGACAAAGATGCTTTGAAAGAGCATTTTAGTTCAGATAATTTTTTCATAATTACAAACTAGAATGTATAATGTTAAAATTCCTATGACTTAAAGAGCATAGTTGTATTCCAAAGGTATCAGTGCTTGAAAGCTACAGTTAATTCTAAATGCACTAATGTTTTTGAAGCAAATCTACCTTAGAAACTTTTTTAGTATTGTATTTTTTAAAATATGTAGGATTTTATTTAAATTTTTTGAGAATTAAATTCTGTATTGGAAAGATATTATCTTCCATTAAGTATTGAATATGTTTTTCCCATTTTATTTTTAATCATATATTTTATAGAAATGAGTTGAGAAAAGTTTAACATGCACTATTTATAATACTTTGCTGATAACAGGCAATGTTCTGAAACTAAATTTATTTTTGTTCAGTGAACATAAGTTTAGATTTTTAAAGTTGGTAGATAATTTATCTCCACTAATATTTTTTTAAGAAACTGTGATGAGATTAACAGGGAATAATTTTATTTCAGATTTTTATTAATATAGTATGTAGCTACAACTTCTTGAAACTCAAGTAAAGGCTAGACTTTTACTTTGAAAAAATTTAATTGGATATTTTCCAGTGCTATCTCATTTTATAAATGTGTTTGCCATTCATCTGCAGAACTGTTTGACAAAGGGAATATTACCTAAAAAAATGTCCAGAGATAAAACCTCATTTAAGTTCTACAAAAATAGCAAATGGATGTATTATTTTTAAAAAAAATTCCCTGCTAAGGACTTTTCATTAAGTAGTCTTAGAGGATATATGATTTCTAGAACGTGGTTTCATTAATATGTACTTTGATGTAAAGAACGTATTTTGTATGTAAAATATAAAACTTGAGTATGGTTGCAGAACACACTATATTGTTTAGGGATTCCAGAGAGCAGTTTAATGCTGAAATAACTATCTAGTATGTAGTTCATATTGTGAATGAAGCTTTGCTTTTGTAATGTATGAATAAAAAAATCACACTTTCTAATGGATCTTGATTTTTCTTTTTTGAAAACTAGGATCCAGTTTTTTAAATAATTTTTCAGTATGTCAATGTTAATTTTTTTTTTAAAGAAAAGGTTTTATGGCTACATTGGTTTCGATTTGTAGAATGCCTTACCCATGAGAAGATCTGTCATGTGAGTTACCAAAAACAAAAATGGTAACATAATTAGCATTTTGTCTCCTTCCTAATTTCTGTTTATTTAAGGTGTGACCCCCTTAAAGTGTTCTGGCACAGGAATAAGGAAGGCTTCCTCTGCTGCTTAGTTATTCCTGTCACATCTGACAAGTGACTACTGACTGAAGGAGTTTCTGTTATGACAAATAAACTGATTTTATTTCCTTCTCTGACTTACTGTACTCAATATGACATTCTAGGTGATGTTGCTGCAAGTGGCCTTATTTCATTCTTAATGGCTGAGTAACATTCGAGTTGGACTATAAAGAAAGCTGAGCGCCAAAGAATTGATGCTTTTGAACTGTGGTTGAGAGCCCCTTGGACTGCAAGAAGATCCAACCAGTCCATCCTAAAGGAGATCAGTCCTGGGTGTTCATTGGAAGGACTGATGTTGAAGCTGAAACTCCAATACTTTGGCCACCTGATGCAAAGAGCTGATTCATTTGAAAAGACCCTGGTGCTGGCAAAGACTGAGGGCAGGAGGAGAGGGTGATGACAGAGGATGAGATGGTTGGATGGTATCACTGACTCAGTGAATATGAGTTTGGATAAACTCTGGGAGTTGGTGATGGACAGGGAGGCCTGGCGTGCTGCACTTCATGGGGTCACAGAGGCGGACATGACTGAGTGACTGAACTGAACTGAACATTCCATTGTATATATGTACCGTATCTTTGCCCATTCCCCTGTAGATGGACATTTAGGTTGCTTCCCTGTCTTGGCTATTATAAACAGTGCTGCAGTGAACATTCAATTCAGTTCAGTTTCAGTTGAGTCTGACTCTTTGCAACCCCATGGACTGCAGCACGCCAGGCTTCCCTGTCCATCACCAACTCCTGGAGCCTTCTCAAATTCATGTCAATTGAGTCAGTGATGCCATCCAACCATCTTATCCTCTGTCATCCCCTTCTCCCACCTTCAATCTTTCCCAGCATCAGGGTCTTTCCAAATGAGTCAGTTCTTTGAATCAGGTGGCCAAAGTATTGGAGTTTCAGCTTCAGCATCAGTCCTTCCAATGAATACTCAGGACTGATTTCCTTTAGGATGGACTGGTTGGATCTCCTTGCTGTCCAAGGGACCCTCAAGAGTCTTCTCCAGCACCACAATTCAAAAGCATCAATTCTTCGGCACTCAGCTTTCTTTATAGTCCAACTCTCACGGTGAACATTGGGGTGCATTTATCTTTTAAGCCCATGTTTTTCTCTCAGGATATATGCCCAGGAGTGGTACTGCTGGGTCCTATGGTAGCTCTATTTTAGTTTTGTTAGGAACCTCCATAGTATTCTCCATAGTGGCTGTACCAATATAATATACATTGTCACCAACAGTGAGAATTTACATTCTCACCAATTTAAATTCTCTCCGCACCCTCTCCAGCATTTCTTGTTTATGGAGTTTTTGATGACAGCCACTCTGGCTGCTGTGAGGTGGTATCTCATTGTAGTTTTGGTTTACATTTCTCTAATAACTAGCAATGTTGAACATCTTTTCATGTGCCTATTGGACATCTGTCCTCTTTGGATAAATGTCTGTTCAGGTCGTCTGCCTATTTTTTGAGTGGGTTGTTTGTTTTAATGCTATTAAGTGTCAAGCTGTCTCTAAGTTTTGGAGACTTAACCCCACATCAGTTACATGATTTGCAAGTATTTTCTCCCAGTCTGTGGGTTGTCTTCCTTTTATTCCCTTTGCAAAAGTTTTTGAGTTTTAAGTAGCTCTCATTTGTTTATTTTTGCTTTTACCTACATTATTCTGGGAGATGGATCAAAAACGATGTTGCTGTGATTTATGTCAGAGAGTGTTCTGCCTATGTTTTCCTCTTACAGTGTCCAGTCTCACATTTGGGTCTTTAATCCATTTTGAGCTTATTTTTGTATGTGGAGTTAAGGAATGATCTAATTTCATTTTTTCACATGTGGTTGTCTAGTTTTCCCAGCTCCATTTGTTGAAGAGGCTGTCTTTTCTAACACTGTGTAGTCCTGCCTCCTTTGTCATAGATTAACTGACTAAAGTTGCTGGGCTTATTTCTGAGTTTTCTATCCTGTTCCATTGATCTATATTTCTATTTTTGTGCCAGTACCATACTGTTTTGATGACTAGCTTTGTAGTATAGTCTGACATCAGGGAGCCTGATTGCACCAACTCTGTTTTCTTTTTCTCCCCCTCCAAGATTGCTTTGGCCATTCAGGATCTTTTGTGTCTCCATACAAATTTTGAGATTTTCTGTTCTAGTTCTGTGAAAAATGCCATTGGTAATTTGACAGGGATTGCATTGAATCTGTAGATTGCCTTAAGTAATATAATTATTTTGACAGTATTGGTTCTTCTAATCCACAAACATGGTATATCTTTCCATCTGTTTATGTCTTTGATTTCTTTCATCAGCATCTTATAGTTTTCAGACCAAAGGTCTTTTGTCTCCTTAGGTAGGTTTATTCCTAGGTGTGTTATTCTTTTTGTTGCAATGGTAAATGGAATTGCTTCTTGAATTTCTCTTTCTGATCTTTTGTTGTTAGTGTGTAGAAATGCAACAGATTTCTGTGTGTTAATTTTGTAACCTGCAACTTTACCAAATTCACTGATGAGTCCTAGTAGTTTTCTGGTAGCATCTTTAGGCTCTTCTATGTACAGACTCACACTACCTGTAAACAGTGACAGTTGAGCTCACTTTCCAATTTGGATTCCCATTCTTTTTCTTCTCTGATTATTGTAGCTAGGACTTCCAAAACTATGTTGAATAAAACTGGTGAGAGTGGACATCCTTGTCTTGTTCCTGATCTTAGAGGGAATGCTTTTCGCCACTGAGTATGATGCTAGCTATAGGTTTGTTATATGGCCTTTCTCATGTTGAGGAGTGTACCCTCTATATCCACTTTCTGGGGAGCTGTTATCATAAATGGGTGCTGAATTTTGTCAAAAGCTTTTTCTGCATCTATCGAGATGATCATACAATTTTTATTCTTCAATTTGTTGGTATGATGTATCACAGTGATTGATTTGCAGATGCTGAAGAATCCTTGCATCCCTGGGACGAACCACTTGATCATGGTGTATGATCTTTTTAATGTATTGTTTGATACAGATTGCAAGTATTTTGTTGATGATTTCTGCATCTATGTTCATCAGTGATACTGGCCTGTAATTTTATTTTTTGTGTG